TGCCTCTCTCCATCCACGTCTCTCTCTTTCTCACTCTCCCTTTCTTCAACTTTTCCTCTCAGCTCCGTCTTTTTTTCTCTCTTCTAGTGTGTCTCCCTTTCTCTCTCTCCTCCCCATCCTTGTTATTCAACTCTCTCTCCCTTTATCTGCCCCATCCACCCATTCTTTCTCTCTTCTCCCTCTTTATCTCTCCCTCTCACCATGCCTCTCTCCATCCTTCTCTCTCTCCCCCTCTTTTCTCTCTCTATCTGTCTCTGTGTTTCTCTTTCCCTCTCTCCATCCATTTATATCTCTTTCCCACACTCCCTTTCTCCAACCTTTCCTCCCCCTCTCCTTCTTTTGCCGTCTCTTGGCGTTTTCTCTCTCTTCTCGTATCTAGCTTTCCCTCCCTCTTTCTCCAATCCTTTCTCACCCTCTCTTCCTCTCCCTCTTTATCTCTCTTATGCCTCTCTCCATCCTTCTCTCTCTCCGTCTCTTTTCCCTCCCTCTGTGTCCCCCGTTTCTGCCTCTCTCCATCCATTTTTCTCACACTCCCTTTCTCCAACCTTTCCTCCCCCTCTTTCTTTTTCTCTCTATTCTGTTGTCTCCCTTTCTTTCTTTCTCTCCATCCATCTCTCTCCCCTCCTCATCTTTGTTATTCAGCTCTCTCTCTCTTTATCTGCCCCATCCACCCCCTCCTTTCTTCCTCTCTTTTCCCCCCCTTCTCCACAACTCTCTCCCTCTCCATCCATCCATCCATCCTTCTCTCCCTCTACTCCATTACTCGGGGTGCAGTGCGGGTTTATGGAGGGTGACATGGGGCCATTTCCATCCCCTGGCACCTGAACCTGCCCCTCCTGCCCCTCCTCCTCCTCCTTCTCTTCCTCTTCTTTCTCTTTTCTACCCCTCTCCTTTCTGCCCCTCCTCTTCCTCCCCTCCTGACCCCCACTTCAGCCAAACCAAGTCCCATTTCCTCACCTGACACTCCTGATTTCCCTCCCCGTCCGTTTGAGAGATTCTAAAAATACTCCGCGGCGTCTTTAAATCCGGGGTAAATTGTGGTGGAGGTTTGAACCCGAGCGCTCGGCCTCGGGACCTCGAGAGCTAAATGACTTCTGATTATTTTCAGGACATTGGCTGAGGAGATGTTTTTTACACAAGCCAGAAGTAAAACCAACGACTTTCACAGAGGAGACGAGACTTGGGCTGAACTCTTGTCCAAACAGCGCCCCCTGTGGACCAGACTGAAGCACAGTACTGCTTATAGTAGTACTTATACTTGTACTTATACTTGTAGTGTACTTATTATTAAAGAGGGTGTCTACAAAGTATATTATATCACACCAACATGAAGTGAATCACAATCAGTGAATCAGGACTAAACCAGGACTAAACCTGGACTAAACCTGGATTTAAAATAACAGAACTAAACCAGGACAAAAATCAGGCCTAAACCTGGATTAAACCTGGACTAAATCACAACTACAACAGGACTAAAACGGGACTAAACAGGACTAAACTAATAAAGTAGGACTAAATTAGTACTAAACCAGGACTAAACCAAGAGTAAGCAAAAAGCTTAAACAAGGACAAGGACTAAACCTGGATTAAAAAACCGAACTAAACCAGGACAAAATTAGGCCTAAACCTGGACTAAACAAGAACTAAACATGGACTAAACAAGAACTAAACCTGGACTAAACAAGGACTAAATCTGGGCTAAACCAGGACTAAACCTGGATTAAAAAACAGAACTAAACCAGGACAAAGTCAGGCCTAAACCTGGATTACACCTGGACTAAACAAGGACTAAACCTGGATTACACTTGGATTTAACCAGGACTAAACAAGAACTAAATACTGATTACACCTGGACTACACCTGGACTAAACAAGGACTAAACAAGGACTAAGTAAAGAGGATTAAACAAGGAAAGGACTAAGCAAGAACTAAACCAGGACTAAACCTGGATTTAAAAAAACAGAACTAAATCAGGACAAAATCAGGCCTAAACCTGGATTAAACCAGGACTATACAACATATGGTACAATATAAATAAAGTTGGATAAATTGGATAATTTTTTGGTTTAAAGACTTGAAATGACTTGAAGCTCAAAGCAGACGACTTGGACTTGACTTGGATTTATGGGCCAGTGACTCCAGACTCGACTTGGACTTGACTGGGACTTGAGGTCAAAGACTTGAGACTTACTTCAGATTTGCAAAACAACGACTTGTTTCCACCTCTGTATTATAAATTATAACACACATGAAGTATTTTTCATCAGTTTTTAGACTTCGACTTTAGTCTGTTGTATTAATGTGAAACTTTATAAACCATTTTAATCCAATATTTTTTTTTACCAACACAGTTTCATGACGTCATTTTCCTCGATATCTGCAAGAAAAGACACAAAGCAACACACGACGCAGCTCTTGGTTTCATAATAAAGTTTATTCTATATTACAAATAGTATTTTGTTCTTGACTGCAAAATAGGAATGCATTATATTTACATACACAGGTATACAATTAATTATAACAAAGTTAGAGAAGCTCGCCTTATATCCCCCTGGTATCACTTTACTCTCCATAAGATACTCTCTCTCTCTCTCTGTGTCATATGGTCAAACTCTACAGTGGATCTGCTTCACACTGAGCTATAGGAGGACTACACGCGTCTCAAGGTGGAATCTTTAACGGCTCCGGGCACAACAAGCCGCCCCGAGCTCACAACCTCTGGCAGGGACGGGGACGGGGACAGGGGCGAAACGGGAGCAGGGGCGAGTGACGGACGGGACACGACGACGCTGGGGCAGATTCACAATAGAGGGCGACGGAGAACCCCATTCACACACGCAGCCCGACCCGGGATTTTACCTGATTCCCGGCAGATTTCCTTACAGTTTTGACCTGGAAATTTCAATGGAGTTTGTGCTCGACAGTCTGGTCCGCAGCGATGGACGTGATCATAAACAGGCCTAACATTTTTGACAGTTTTTTTGATTTATTTATTTATTTCATTCATGTTAAGATCCAGACCAGAAGTTGACAAATTTGTTTTTTTTAAAGTAATTGCCAGGAACATGCAGGGACGTTTTATGTGTGAATAAAGCCAGAAAATGGGCAGTAGGTGTGTGCAAAAATATTGAAATATCGATGTATCGTATTGTTTAATGTGATGATACAGTATCGATATTGTGAGCTGCTGTTTCAATGTATCGCCAAGAATATTTTTTCGTATATTTTACTCAATTATTTTGTTACAGCTACAGTTTTGTTGTTTGTTCAGAGGAAGGAAACTCGTTTATGTGACACATTTAACATTTTCACTGTTTTGGTGATTAAAATGTTTGTGTTTCGTATGAACTTTTGCACAAGAAGTGGTTTAACAAAAACTTTTAGTATCACAGCCATGATTTAACCTTTATTTTTTATTGAACCCTATACAAGAAAAAGTTTTTGTTTACATCCAGCTTTTCTGCACATGCGCAGAGGCTGGTGGGCAAAAAGTCAGTGGGGCCGCTCGTTTGTGTGGACAGTTGCGCTGCGTATGTCTGTCATGAGATAAGTCGTCTTATTTTGAAGAACATTTTGTATTTAATTCTTTTGACATGACTTCATCATCTTACTCTAAGTCACTGAATGTTTAGGATCAAAAACTTTACTTTGAAAAGTTAAAACTCACCAATAACTGTTGACAATGTTGATGTCGTACGCCGATATCTTTTGATGATTGTTGATGTTGTACCGTTGTATGACGATTGTTGATGTTGTACGCCGATAACTATTTACAATGTTGATATTGTACCGTTGTTATGCCGACTGTTGTTGATGTTGTATGCCGATAACTGTTGACGATGTTGATGTTGTACCGTTGTATGACGATTGTTGATGTTGTACTGTTGTATGACGATTGTTGATGTTGTACGCCGATAACTATTTACAATGTTGATGTTGTATGCCGATTGTTGATGTTGTATGCCGATTGTTGATGTTGTATGCCGATTGTTGATGTTGTATGCCGATAACTGTTGACGATGTTGATGTTGTACCGTTGTATGCCGATTGTTGATGTTGTACGCTGATAACTATTTATAATGTTGATGCTGTATGACGATTGTTGATGTTGTACGCTGATAACTATTATACGATGTTGATGTTGTATGACGATTGTTGATGTTGTACGCCAACAACTCTTGACGATGTTGATGTTGACTTGTTGATACGGATGCTTTTTGCCAAACCAAACCAACCAAAATGGCTGACGTGACGTTATCGTGTTTTCTCATACTGAATCGTATCGAATCAAAGCTCACTGTATCGAGATATGTATCATATCGTGGCCTGTGTATCGAGGTATGTGTCATATCAGCAACTTCTTATCGATACCCAGCCCTAGTTTCTAGCTATATTTTCTTGGTTATGAGTTTGGTTTCCTTGGTTACGCTACACGGTTCTGTTCCGTTCTCATTCGATTTCAATTTCAATGACGCCGAGTTTCTGGCATTTTGTATCTGGGAATTTACGGGAGCTGTGTGTGAATGGGGCTGAGGACATTCATTGTGTTTCTACGGTAACACAAAGCAACAACATGGGACATTTTGGTCATTTATGTACATAGCAATTTCCCTGTTCATGTTTTTAATACATTTTTTACACTATAAAAACCAACAAGGGGGAAAAAAAAACTAATTTAAATTCATATTTTACCAATTTCTTTTGATTTACAAATTTTACTTGTTGATTTGGTAAGTCAGAATAAAATTTAAAAAAGAAAATCTTGAAATATTTGCATTAAAGTTTAAACTAATATCTAAAAAAAAAAATCATCATCATTTTTGGGTAATTTACTTTGCATTACTACATCTTTTTGAGTTGATATAACTTTATAAGAATGAGTAAACCCAACTAATTAAAATAAAGTGCAAAAAAAAAAAGTTTAACAGTTTGGTTTTACAGTGTAAGTGCGATTTAGTGCAACTTAAAACCCAATAATTTCAAATTCTTCATTATATTACTTTCAATTAAGTTACCACGTCCCATTTTATGCCTTGTGGATTCACCCCATTGTGAAAAACATATAAAGCTGCTTTCACTAACAAATACGAGATGAATTAGAAGCAAGGCCGAATAAAGACTTGCCGAACAGTGTAAAAACATGGGAGTACTTCTTGAGTGTTAAAGGGACAGTTCGGAATTTTGGACATAGGACCTCATTTCCATAGAGCCAGACCGTTGGAGACAATTTTTGAAATATTCCATCCAGTCCTTGTATTTGCAGAGGTCGCTGGTGCTAGACTAGTGCATGTCAATGGTCATAGTTATCCTGCCACTAAAAACAGTCTTACCCACTCCACAAAACACTCAAAACAAATCTATTATTACACCAGACTGTCCATGTGAATGTCTGTGTTGATAGAATAATTTTAGAAGTAAAACTAAGCTTGTATCGCATGAATCGTCGCATGTTGAGGGACTATTTTCTCAGCAGCAGCGGAATTTTACTCTGCTCTAGTTGGTTGTGATGATATAAACGTGGTCATAACTGGAACTGGCTTCTTCATGAGCTCTACGTGTTGCTGCAGGTAAACAAACTATTACAGGTGCTGGGTGAAATCAGTCCGCCGCTGCCGAGCTTTCTATCAGGAAGTACAACCCACTGCTGCTGCTGCTCAGACATAAATCCTTCAAATACAAGGTTGGTTTTACTTCTAAATAGGCCTGGAACGATAATCAATAAATCAATTAATCGTACGATAACCTTTAACGAGCTCGATATCTTTTCAGGCTGCGATAATTTCTTGTTTTCCTCGCTCTCTCTCGATCTCAAAGAGGGTGAATATTAGAAGGCTTCTATCGCTCTCTGACTCCTCCCGTTTAACAAGCGTAATGACACTTGTACGAACGTGTGCTCTGTTTCTCAGCACAGAGGATGTTCGCGCAGCCTGAGTGCAGAAAGCGCCGCCGTCTGTGTGGCGAACATGAAGCCGCAACACAAGCGCCGATGTCAGAGTGACGAAATAGTTCATCGCTGAGTGCCAAAACAACGTCACGATGCCAAATACACGTCTCAACAGCCACGTGCGTCAAATTCAGCGAACGCGCAAACGACGAGAAGAAATGTCTCAAACCCCTACAGCCGATAAACCCAAACCTGAGCGACAGAACTAGCCCCCGGGAGAGCCCGAAGTCCACTCAGATTCCGCAAGACACCGACATGACATCAGACAGGACAGTGGCTCCCTCATAGCGAAATAAAATCCTGTGTCGCGGGTTAATACGAACATTTAAATAACCAAAATGCTGAGTCTCACAGCAGCAGCCACAGAGAGAGTGGTCACTATATTCCAATGTAAGTCAACGACTAAAATCACTTTTAAGGACAATTTTGTTACAGAGACTTAATAATCCATTTTATTTAATGCTTTGGTTGTGTTTGGTTCAAAAGTGGTTTATTCAAGTGCATTTTTGTGAACAAGTCCTCGCCGTGAGCCAGACACATTAGGCTTGTCCTATGTTAACAATTCTGTTTTATTTAGGCCTGTTGTTTTTGGTCGTCTTGCAGTTCCTGTGTTAAATGTTCTTTAGAAAGTAAAGTTTATTGATCTTTGAAAGGGTGTATTTGCATTTTTACTCCATGGTCATTTTATATTAGTTGAAACTGGTCTCAAAATGTCAATATTATCGTTATTATCGTAATAAATTCTTGGTCAATTAATCGTCCAGCAAAATCTGTTATCGTTACAGACCTACTTCTAAAATGATTCTATCAAGACAGTCTGGTGTAATAATCGTTTTGCTTCGGGTGTTTTGTGGAGTAGGTAAGACCTCTGCGACCTCTGCACATACAAGGACTGGATGGACTATTTAAAAAAAAAAAAAGTGTCTCTACACGTCTCCAACACTCTGGTTCACTAGGAAATGAGGCCCTATGTCCAAAATTCCAAACTGCCCCTTTAATGCGTTCTAACAACTTACAACAACACAGGATGTAGTAGCAGCACAGACAGCCCAAAACGGGACCTGTCCAACGAACGAAATTTACAGCAAATCACAGTTCGAACGATGGGATATAGACAATGGACTTTGAGTGACATTCGGACACGACTACAGCGTTAAAATGGCGGAAAGACTTCAGTAGTAGGAATAATAAAACTTTAAATATTTCTAAGCAAGGCATTTTTCCATTTCCATCCAAGTAGGTTCACATGCAAAGGGTACGGTATCGGTATCGGTATCGGCGCTAACACGTCACAAAAGTCATGAAGAACGGGGAAGGTCCGCGCATCGGTTGGTTTCGCGTAAAGATTCCACCTCGAAACGAAAGATATATTTTTGTCTTTACATGAACTACCCACTTTTTCCCTTCGACTCAAATCATCGTCCAAGCAAAACAAAGAGAAAAGAACACATCCACATCATCATTGCAAGGCTTAAATTTTCTTATTTTTCAACTTTTTTAATAAGTTTCTTAAATTGTTTACATTTTACATGCGCTTAAAAAGCCAATAAAAGGACCCAACGGTGGACCTAGGGCGGTCTTCACACATTCACATCACCACATGGGGCACGTTGTCAAGGCAAAAGAAAGAGCAGAGGTCAAAAGGTACGGAGGGGGGCTTTAGTCGTGGGCCAGCGTGGTCCGCGCTCGCCGGCAAACATCTAGGATCGTGTTGCTATCCCGTCGCGTCGTCAAAAAAAAAACGTTCCATTTTCCCGTTTTGTTTTACCGTGTTTGGAGAAGCCCGCCCCTACCGCCACTGAAGACAACTACACTAATACATACAAGAGCGCCCTCTGCGGGACACACTCAAAAAGGTTGGGCTTTTTGTTGTATGCAAAACTAGCTACCATCTCCAACGCTTGTGCAAAACAGAAACCAAAAAAAAAAAAAAATACGGGTTTTTAGAGTCAAGAGCTGGACATGGGGAGGGGAGGAGGGCGCGCCGAAGCTTTCCGGCACGTTGAGGTCAGGAAAAAGATCGCTAAAATTCCACTCGTTTCCCGTTTTTCCATTTCACGAGCGGCCGCTTCTACGTCGTCCACTTTGTCGTCGTTAGTTCCTTTAGTGGCACTTCACAAAGATTTTAGACCGAAAAAATTGAAGCTCCTTTGGTTTTTGGCTGACTGACTTCAAAGTTCAAGTCTTTGCAACAGAACGTACCAAGAAAACAAGTGCTACTCGTGTACAATCAAGCCCCGTTTTGGTAGCAGTCAGCGTGTTTCTGTTAATAATCGTTCGTTTTTTTTTTTTTTTTCCTTTTTCGAAGTGGTTTTTACCCAGTATTTTCCATTTAGCTCATCCCTTAAGCTCGTGGTAGACCTCTGGGTAGCTGCTGTGCGTCGTCGTGTGTGCTTTGATTGGAAGTTGTAAGAGCCCGAAGATTACACTGCTCAAGTTGTCAGAAATTAGCAGCCGAAACTGTCCAAAAGTTGATTGTGTGCTTTATCTCAGAGGTCCCAACTTGTGTTAAAAAACCTCCGGCGGTTGATTTTCTTGTAAGATCTTTGTAAGTTTTTGCGATGAGCCACTTCTTTGCGCAAAAAGGGAAGCAGTAAACTGGATATTTCCAATGTACAAGTTGTGGGTACGTCGTTGTGCGAATTTTTCGAAGGGGGGCGAAAGAGGTTGGGTGTACTCTGGTTTCGTCAGTCATTTCAGTAGAGATGCACTATTCCGTTACCCCTACCCCATCAGTTTCAGTCTTAAAATTCTCCAGCTACATTAAAGAAATAAGAACATTCAAAGATTTGCCTCCCGAAGTCGCCCCAGAATCTGCAGATATGTATAATTCGCTTTTATAGGTACAGTGTAAACTTGGCAAACCAGAGTTGCATTCATTTTTTAGAGGTGTTCATTTGGCTTGCAGTCATCGTTTTTGTTTCCTCTTATATCGATATAGAACTACAATAAACAGGACTCTAAAGATGTTTCGTTATCACTATTTCCTAAAAAGTTCTCAACAAAACTTACAGCCAACATAGTGGTTTGTAAAGAATTACCTATTGTAAATTCTTGAAGGCAACATAAAAGGTTTTTCCACTTCTTTCCAGCAGGGGGGAGGACCGCAGCGCACCAATATGGCTGGCTTTTGGAGCAGTCGCCCCCCCCCCATTGAGGCTCTCTCTGTGGTGAAGCTGAGGTAATCTCCCACAATGCAACGCGAGAGAGGCTTTCCCGCCAGCTCCGGACCATCACATCTTCAGGTTAACTAGTCTATGCAGCAGTGGATGAGGAACAGTTTTTTTTATATCAAGAGGAGGAAGCAAAAATTCAAAAAAGGCGTCGAGGAAGAAGTCATGTGATGAGAAAGGTGGCGCGGCGGTGGAGGGGGTCGGGACGGGTTCTTTTCGCTCAGGCACGGCTCGGTTTGTGGGCGGGGCTTGGGGGGCGGGGCGGAGGGAGGGGTCGTTCCCAGTGCACCCTGGGAAATGCGGTCCTCAGCTCTCCAGGCTCATGAAGGCCACCACCTGCTCCAGTTTGAAGGCCAGCCGCTGTTTCCGGGCCGCGTCGTCCTGCTCCAGCGCGCACACGATCTGCAAACGAGACAGGGAAATGTTTAAATATGTGTATGAGATGATCAGAATTTAACTTTTTAAATTGTTTTGGTGACATAATTGGCGGTGGAGGGTCTGTCAAATGCTTTTCTCCATGGAGATGTTGTCGCTTTGTCTGGAATTTTTCACAATACAACATTAAACCTTTCTATTTTAATGGCGATCAAACCACACCGAGTTACAGGTCAGATCTATGGAGAGGCGACTCCACTCAGTCAGAATACCTGTTTTTCCAAGTATTTTTGAGCTATAAAACCACCTGTAATTGAATAAATGTAAGGTGGAGATGTTTATGTCACACTGTGGAACATTCCAGGCAGACCAATGACGTCCATAAAAACAAATAAAGATGGACCCTGAACCAAAAAGTTACATAGTGCACCTTTAAGAAAATAAATAAATTTGTTGTTTTTTTTGGAAGAGGCCCATCACCTGCATGATTCTGTGGAAATAGAAGCCTGAAACCATATTTTGGAACAAAATCAATGGAGCTAGAAATGTTTTACTTCACTGTTTTCAATTTGTGGAAACTGTCTGACCTCACAGCATTAGGATTCATTCGCTCAACGGTAGGCGGGTACTTTTTTTATTTAACCAATCACTGCTATTTGGTTGTGACGTTTGTAATGCGCCGGAACGTTCAGTGGTGTCCAAGTAATTTCCGGCACAACAGTAAACAAAGCAGAGAGTGAACATGTCTGTCAACGCGCACTGTTGTTTCTGTGAGATGAATTAAAGTTAATTAAAGGTGAAATAAAAAATGCGAAGTTTGTATTTGACAAAGGAAGTTCAAAGGGGGATATTTTATGCAGTCTGATATCGCAACTCAGGTTGGTTCAGCTCTTTGCTGATTGGCCGGTGCTTGATCTGCAACTTCCGGGGTTCTTTGCAAACCGTCAGGGGTGTCAAACTCAAATTCACAGAGGGCCAAAATTAAAAAACTGGGCCAAACTAAATATTTTTATCTGCATGTTTTCTCTTCTTTCGAGATATGTCATGTTAAACCTTTTCTTATTGAAATAAAAGTTTAATAATAGTTTTGCTTAAAGGTTGTATGGAGGATTTTTTTTATTTGTTTCAAATTGTCAGTGAAAGTTTAAAATACCATTAGAGCGATGCAGCAGCCTTGTAATTATGATGACCAAAAAAAAAAGAATGAAAATCCATCAACTGTGGACGTGTTGAGGCCAGATAAACATCAGCCACTAGAAAACAAGGCTACCTCATTTTCTATTGGCTGTTAGGTTGTTAATCAAACTCCCTACGTTTCTAGCGTCACTGACTCGCCGGCGCGCTGGGATTAAGAGGTTTACGTTCGCCTCTCACGCACTGATGACATTTACTCGACCAATACAGCGGTTCTTGGGGTCTTTTTCGAAGTGTAGCTTCCTCTCAGTTTGCACAAAGTTTGTTGTAACGGCGGACAAGAATTCACGACCAGTTCATCGCGAATGAAAGTCCGTTTTTGACGTCGCGGAAACAAGAGGAAAAGGGGAAAAGCAGCAAAGCACAACATTTGAAAAAGGACAAACAGTCGCTGCATTTCTCTTTTCTTGGAAAATCTTCTATACAACCTTTAAACACTGAATCCAGAACAAGCAAAATATAAAATAATAACAACATTTTAAATGAATAACATCTCTTTAGTCTATCTGTAATCGGCCGGCCAGCTCTAATACATATTTTATATGATCTCGAGGGCCACATTTAATTCTATCGTGGGCCAAATTTGACCCCTGGGCCTGAGTTTGACTGGAGAGAAATGAAATTGAGTGGAGACACTAGGTGGTGCCGGTCTGGCTTGAAGATTATGGCCAAAGGAACAACATTTCCACAGAAACAAGCTGGAAGAGGCCCTCCTCCTTGGCCAGGTTTGAGTCAGGTTTGCGGAGATGCAAGCCCGGTCACAATGACGATGCATGTTTTTCAGTGTATTACAAAAACAACCAAAATGATGACGACTATGAACACGCTTCTGCTATAAAGCTACATACTGTATCTTTAAATTGATCATGATATATTTAAATAGTCCAAATTGGTTTCTTTTTTGGTGCAAATGAAAGCAAACTCTTGGTGCACTTTTGATGAGAAAACATTAGGTGAAATGAAATGAACATGACCATTTTATGTCAAGGGTGTTTTATATAACCTCGTGTCCTGACTGTCCTCACCTCCTCTGTGTATTTGCCCACGTAGGAGTAGATCTCACTGAGGGAGCTCATGCTGTTGAACTCGCTCATGTGCATCCGTGATTGTTCGGCCAGGTAAGCGTTCATGTCCTGGTCACTGATCGCAGGCATTTTACTGATGTCCGAGTAGTACCTGAAACACAAACGTACAACAAATGGTCAGTCATCAGTGTATTTTAAACGGGTTTCTATTGACTCTTCAAAATTCTACGTCATCAAAATGCTCAAAAATGGAGGCAACAGTAAAAATATTGACGCTTTTCCACTTGACGCTTTTGACTGCTCTGTCCGACGCTTCGTTACTAAGGTTAAGAGTTTAATTTGAGCTTTATTTTAACACAATCCGACCAGAAAGAGCTGACTTAGATGTGCTTTTAAACAAGTATTTATTTACGAGCCAACAGTTTTTCCACAATAAACCCCTAAAAACAGAAACACGAACGCTTGTATTGATCACGGGCTCCAGGAAAATCGTTGTTTAAATCCATTTTGTTTTGTTTTAGTTTTTCTTGAGTTTTCAGACAATCTAAAAAATCTAAAATCAGGCTGTGTCACCATGGTAACTGCTGAACGTTCCACCATAGATTAGACATACATGCAGTGAATCCCCCCAATGTGATATTACTTCGAAGTATCAATACATTACCCATTTTCAACGATAAAGTGATGTTTATGTATGGATAATTCAAGGTGAAGTGATAGTTTGGATGCTGCTCGGAGTATTTGTGTTGGAAATCTGCAGAACCCAGAACAGTTACAGACGTGTTCGGCTGCCAACAATTTCAGCAAAGAGAAATAGAGATGTGAATAATATTAGTCATGAGTTCAGAGTGAAGCAGAGCAGGTGTTTTGGCCTTAACACAGAGTTCATTTCACACCTGTTCAGAGCCACAGGCCGGTTACATTCACCACAGGCAAACCAGACAGGCGCGCCAAGAAGGAACACCGTATTTATTACAATTATTTTGGAAATCTGGATAGTTCACTTCAAACGCTTTATAATAACTACACTTGAATTTAACAAAGATTTAATTAAAATGGACAAATGGTCGTGAAGGTAAGTTATTGCTTCGCCTGGAATGTTTCACAGTATCTTCATGGAGACTAAACCAGACCAAGTTACAGGTCAGATCAACTCACAGTCTGTTTTCCTAGGTATTTTTGAGCTATAAACTACCAATACTGTTTTACTGAGCTGTTTAATGTCACACTGTGGAATATTCCAGACAAAGCAATGACATATGAGCGGTGGGACCACGTCGTTGTTTTGCAAGTCTCAAGTAAGTCTCAAGTCTTTGACCTCAAGTCCGAGTCTAGTCCTAAGTCAAATACAGGCAAGTCCAAGTCGAGTCTCGAATCACTGGCCCGTAAGTCCAAGTCAAGTCCAAGTCATCTTCTTTGAGCTTCAAGTCATTTCAAGTCTTTAAACCAAAGAACCAACTATAGTTTAGATTTTTGCAATTTATATGAATTTTAAACTAAATTGTACTTAAAAATTCATAGTATATTTATAGATGAGTATTTATAGAGTGTATAAGAGTTGTAGAAACGTAATTTTTTCCTTTTTAAATGTCTTGACAAGATCTTAGTGTGAATCATTACGGTCAGAATAGAAAGAATTCAGATTTAAAAGTGCTTCTCAAGTCACAGGCCTCAAGTCCGAGTCAAATCCCAAGTCACTGAGCTTCAAGTCCAAGTCAAGTCCCAAGTCTTAGTCCATTTTATCGAATCAAGTCGTAAAAATAGTGACTCAAGTCCAAGTTATGACGTGCAAGTCTCCACCTCTGTGACACACGGACCCTCCACCAGAAAAGTTACACAACGCACCTTTAATACTTATTACAAAGCACTACCAAGGATTTTCTGTAGAAGTAAAAGCAATAAAAGGTCTATATGGTTTATAAATGGTCCATCAAATTCATGCAAAAGAAATGCACAATTGGATGTTACCAATTATGTTTTCTGTTTTCTAAATAATTACAGCAACAATCAGCACGATACTTGCCGAGATGACAGTGGGCACACACACAATGAACCCCAGATAAGGTTTGGAGTTCTACTGGACCGTACTCTGGCATTTTAAGCACAAACTCAACAACCTCAAACAGTTTTTCACTAATTTGTTCGAGTGCAGTGTTCTTGTTAATATTGTAACATGAACTCTTACTAATTATGGTTGTAATAATGGAATTAGTCTTACACAGCGCTTGCCCGACACTCAAGACTTCCTTTATAATTAATTGTAGTAATTGCTTCTTAAATCAGAGCTGCCCTCGGGTAGACTAATAGGAAGCGACTAATCTGAGCCATCACACAACCAACAATCACTCACACATTTAGACATAAACAGGATGGGTGAAGTGTCTTGCCAGTGGACACAGTGGCAGGTCTATAGCAACAGAACCACCGTACTCTTGTATTACGATCTTGATGATGGGCGTAAACTATAATAACTGGATTAATGAGTCTGAAAAATCCCTTAGTCGTCCAGATAGAATCCATGGCAAAGGAGAAATTCAATTTGTCAACTGGACAAAAGTTTATTTGGTCGAATACGTTTCGTAGCTCATCTAAGCTGCTTAACACTTCCTTATAACTGCTTACAGGGATGTACCAACACAGATGAGAGAGCAACACAGGGCCTCAGTCTGCTGTACAGCGCCAAATAAAAGCCACGGACAAGTCTTTTGAGGACAGTGAGGTACAGATCTTAGCCAGAGAAAATAATTAGTTTGAGACTGAAGTTAAAGAAGCTATTTTTGTGAAGAAAGAGAATCATTCTCTAAATTGAAACGGAGGATGAACACCAACTAAACACCAACTATCTTCTATTTACAACTCCATCCTCAAACCTAAATCAAAACAAACAAGAGAACAATAGGTGTAGCCAGGCCAGGTCCAGAGATGAAAGCTCCATTATGGCCCTGAATGGTTATACTAATATGATCCCACACTCAGTCCCTACTTCAATAGGCCAAACTAACTAAAAGAAACTGTAAACAAGCCGGTGTGTTAGTTTCAGAGTAGATATTTTGCTTTTCCCTGCAGACAGATATATGGAAGGGTCCACCAGCGTCTGACCAGAACATAACTGGATTCATTAGTTTATGCTTCCTACTAAATAAAATACACAAATGTGGCACTGCACTGTAGCAAGCTGTTGATTTTAACTGATGTGTATTTCTTTTTTGAAAAATGGCTACACAATAAATTTGAAACCAACGTGAACAAAATGTTTTTAATGTAAACGATAATAATGTAATGAAACTTAACTCTCTTGACAATTCTTTAATGTAAATGATATTTTTGACCTGTGATATTTAATTGTATAATTATTGCATATGTGATGGACACACCTACTTATCTCCAACATGTCCTGTTATTCTTGTTGCTGTTCGGTGGGTCTGCTCATCACGTATATATTCCTCATGGTTGACCAACCTTTTTTGTTTTTAGTTTGTTCTTGGTCATTTTCCAATAGCCATGTGATGTTGTCATGTGATTGATAATTGTATTTAATGGCACCTGTATGTCATGTTTTACCATTTTGCCCTGATGAAAACCCTTCATGCAATAAATGACTTTTAATATATTCAGTCAGAGTGTCTCAGGTTTGTACCTTGCCCACTTTTACAATTTCAAGTAAGGGCAACTTTCTGTTTAAGACTACTGGTTCAACTCTCGTAGATCGCCTGTACTGCTATTTTTTTTAACTCTTTTATGAGCCAATGAAGCGCTCTACCTCTTTTCTTCATCTGTTTTTAATGTAAGTTAGGATGGGGAAGTGGGCGGAGATAAGGGGTAAGTGAAAACTGACATATAGAATTACTCAAGTATGCATACATCAATAGAAATACAACTACACTAACGATAAGGGAATACCATTTTTGTTTAAAAGTTCATAAAAGTTCATTTTGCATAATATATTTTAACATTTAAGATTCATTTAAGTTCTAAAATATTTCAGTTTAACAAAGATCCAAATATCATTAATGTTAAAATAAGCTCTGTTCTCCTGCGGTGAGTGTGCAGCACCCACGGGACAGGGGTGCCCACTCTCTCCTCTCTTATTTCTTTCACAGCCACAGACTGAGGAGTAATGATGGTCCGCTGAGCCCTGAGCTGCTCTCTGGTTCAGCCATGCAACGCAGCCTCCATATATCCACCCCCCGACGCCCTCTCCCCGTGATGGAGCAACCAACATATAAATACTCCGAAGCGCTTCATTGTGCCCATATTTTATTCACGACTCTTTGCCTCGTCTGCTGACAAATAAATTTAATAAAACTCTCATTTTAACAAATTACTGGCCTCTACTGCCTGCTACTGCTACCACATGATTTCTTCCGCTCTCCAGTCTTTTGCATCCTCCCCACACACCCACATTTCAGCACTGTAGATCTGCAGCCCTGGGCTTTTCCATTCATTCCCACTGTGTAGTAATATGAATTGTGTTACTTGGTCAATAGATCATAGAGTTTTTGAATACAGCGTGTGCATGCTCGGCTGAAACGGGACTACAGTAGCTATTCGTCCTGGCACTCTTAACCAAAATGTGGATTGTTGATTAAAAAAATGCAAGTACCGTATTTTCCGGGCTATTGGATAATCTGGATTATAAAACGCACTGTCATACAATGGTGTATTTTCAAACTTTTTTCACAAATAAACCGAACCGGACTTTAAACGAAACACAACAGTTGGATGGGTCAGTGGTTTTGTTTGTTTGTGGCGTTCACGGCGACTCTGGGCTTTGTTCAGTTGTGGCGTGTAGGGAGGTGCTGTCTGGGACCGCTGGATTGTCGGCGTGTTCGCAGTGACTCAGTTGTTCAGTTGTGGCTCAGAAAGGCACATTGCGCTCGCTTTTTCGGTTCGTTCCTCCGTTCCGTTCCTCGTCCGCGTGGAGTGATGAGTGTGTCTGTGGGTGTTTTTCGCTGCGCTGTCGCTGTCTGCTCCGTGTGTGTTTGCGTGAGCTGCGGGTGGTGCGGCTTTTAGTTTACTGAAGTCGTACTGGGACACCTGAGTGGATTCGTGTATGGGGCGCTCTGGATTATGGGACGTGCAGTCATTTTTTGATGCGGTTAGAGGCTTAAGAGCGCGTCTAATAACCCGGAAAATACGGTAATAAAACTGAAATGCAGATTTCTTGGTAAAATAATTTGAATACATAAGTGCCAAAAGTACTGACGTATATGAATGAACGAAATATCTTAATAGACGCCTTTCATTTATTTTGAACTCAGAGTTTTCAAGCACTGAGGAATTTTGAACATATTGTATTAAATCTGGATGCGTAATAAATCAGCTGTAAAAAGCCTTGTCAAATTCAATATACAAAGAATGAAATCAAAGTTTGAGAAGAGCAGAAATAAATAGGGTCAGAGAGTCTTCAAAAATACAATGCAGTTATACTTATAATAAAAATGAAGTGTCCATAGTAATGATAAGCTTTGGAAATGGACAAAATTATGATATATTCGCTAGATTATGCACATTTTGTCTTTTTATCATTGTTCAAAGCTTTTAATTTAGCAAATAATGTCACCATGTCACAACCATATGGAAAAATAAACAGTACATAAATAAATATTAGAGGGTTTTTGTGACTGACCTCTCGACCCAGCTCTTGTAGCTGGGGATGTCCTTGGCGTAGAGCAGCTTGTTGGAGGGCGAGTCTTTGCCCAGGCGGTGTTCTGAGGTGGAGCAGGAGTCCATGAAGGTCTGAGCCACCACAGAGAGGCAGGCGTCTGTGATACTGCTCTTATGGATGTCAAACACAAACTGGGGGTTCTTGATCACATTCACCCAGAAACGCAGAGGTAGGCTGCACACACAAAAACAAAGACAAACACACAAAACATATCGTTAGTTATATTTTCACAGATTTATTGTCAAGATATCCAGCTTAGAAAAAGTTTAGAAACACAAAAAACACACAACGTCTGTCCTGAATTCTTGTTGAAATGATGATGATTCAGTTAATAGAACCAAACATTTTACACGCTTGTTCTCTTTCAGGTTATTCACAAAGGTGTTAAAGGTGCACTGTGTAACTTTTTGGTTCGGGGTCCATCACCTGCTTGCTTCTATGCATTTTTATGTCACTGCGCTGCTTGAAATGTTCCACAGTATGACTTTAAACAGCTCTGCCTTACATTTATTCAATTACAAGTGGCTTTATGGCTCAAAAATACTTAGAAAAACAGGCGTTCTGACTGTGAGCGGGGTCGCCTCTCCACAGATCTGACCTGTAACTTGGTCTGGTTTGGTTTCCATGAAGATAGAAAGGTTAAAGGTTTAATGCCATACTGTGAAACATCTCAGACAAAGCAATAACATCTACATGGAGACATGAATTGATGGAAACTTGACCAGAAAAGTTAAAAAACGCACCTTTTAAGATTTTATTTTATTTTATGTAACCATTATTTACTCAAAAAAACACCCATTGAGATCTAAAAATCAATTTTAGAAGGAAAAAAATATAAAATTAAAGTGGAACATAAGCTTGACAAAGATGTTACAATTACTATTTTTATGATATAACCAAAAATTGTCAAGAAAATGTAGCTACAGACAGTAATATTAAAGTACAAATTGTCAAAAATGTTGTGTTGGGTTTACAGAACATTTTATCAGAATTGTTATGACAGAAACCGGAATAGTGTTTATAGATTTGCAGCAGTCAGCCAGGTGGTGGTGACATGTCTGTATTATGTTGCAAAAGCGGCGGTGGATTCATTCACTTTGCGGCGCCAGTGTCCCTCTCCCGCTGTTCCTTATATGCTCCATTTAATGTGAGTGTTCAATTCAATAAGGACTTTATCTCTTAAACCAGGTGCTGGCTGCTTCTAATTTTCTCCATCAGTGTTCAGGGGTCTTTACAGTGAGAGGCACGATTCATATGGCCTTATTTGTGCTTGTGGAGGAGAATCCGAACACCCAAGTTTGTGTATTTGCTTGTTTGTGTCTAAATACATTGAAATAAAGGCATTTTTTATTTATCTGTTCGCTATTGTAAAGGGCCCAGGTGGTATTAAAGCTGAAATACCCAATTTTTTTCGCATCATGAATACAATCAGACCACTACACACTGTCTGATTTCACGTATTTTTTCGGACTGTAAGTTGCACTTTTTTCATGGTTTGGGTGTTTCCTGTGACTTATACTCCGGTGCGACTTATGTATTAAAATTTTCACACTGACAGCCGTGAGAGGCTCTAGGCTTGTGTGTCAGTAACTCCTGTACCACTGTCACTTCACTCTACTGCGCATGTCTCCTGCAGAAAGAGCCGCTGTCCTGCTGCAAGTAGTGAAATATGCAGCTGAAAACGGCAAACAAGCAGCAGAAAGAAAGTTTGGAGTGAGCGAGAAACTTGTGAGTGACTGGAGGAAAGTGGGATGGAGAACAACAGTTTCACGGTAACCGGAGGGTGCACCATGAAAATTTCCTGGACGTCACAGGATAGATGGACAAAGCCTGGACTTCAGTGACACCGAAACCATCCTGTCGGGATTCAGAAAGGCCGGAATAATTCTAACTGGAACTGATGCTGAGTCTGACGACAGCTACACAGAGGAGGAAGCGGCGCTCTGTTTACCTCCGGAGGTCACGGAGTTGCTCAAGAATTCAATGGATTTAGTGATTTGGAGTGAGATGGAGAGTTTGTTAAACTTGTTCTGTTCTGTTGTTTATGTTATAGTTTATCTGAAGAACTGTTCATATGTGACGTTAACAGTCTGTTGTTCTCTGTTCTATTGTTTTTACTAGAACTTGCCTTTGAAAATGAAATGTCGGTTCCTGGTCTCTGATTTTATAAAATACATTTCCCCCAAAAAGTGCAACTTATATTCCGGGGCGACTTACAGTCCTAAAAATATGGTACTTTCTTTTATATCACCATTATATACCATTATTATATTACTTTTGACATCCCTAATACAATTTCCACCAAAGAGTGCAACTTATATATGTTTTTTTCTTCTTCATTACCCATTTTTTGACTGGTGCGACTTATACTCCAGTGCAACTTATAGTCTGAAAAATACGGTAATTATTACCATTTTATCTTTTTTCAACTTTGTGTTTTTTAAAGTTATTCTAAAATCATGATATGGACAAAAAAAACAAACAAAAAATTAATCCATGCATGTGAATACTAGAGATATGCCACTGAGTTTGAGAGAAATAAAAGTTAAATAGATATAAATACATACTTCAATATACTGAACTAAATATTCTACTAAATATGTATATACCTCCTAAATACCCAATAATCCTTTCACAGTTTGAAAATTGGGTCTTGAATTTTCAAAGCTGACGTAACGCAAACTAGAAAAAAGTCTACAGTCTGTGCCGCATACAAGGAGCCTCGCAATATCACAGGAAAAGGAGAAAAGAAAAACAAAATACATTATTTAAACACCGCCCATATCATCCCACTAAGCTGTTATCCCAACACAACCACCCACAAAGCCACTCGCATGTACAATCTCACAGGAAAGAGGATTTAGAAAGAAAACTCCGCTTTATGATTTAAATATTAATCTTGGAAAATAATCTACTGCGATTAGGAGCAGGGATCAAAGGCGTATTAACACTGGTGCGGTGTTGTTTGGAGGGGACGATCTGCCCCAGCTGCCCCGCGTGGAGTGTCACTGGAGCAGGGAGCACAAAGGAGCGGCTCCCCACGACTCCATGTTCAAAGCAGCAGAATAACAAGCACAATTATCCATAAGAGTCTGACATCGGCTGGTTATTTTTGGTCACGGATTTGGCTTTTGATCAGCTGTTACATCAAGGGTGCACTTACTACGTATTAGGGCTCCACAATGTACCGAGAAATGATTGTTTCTGACACGTCAGCCAAGGCATATTGATGATAACAATGCACTTACACATATATATAAAAAACACTTTCCTTTATCTCGCAGTTTTTACTAATAGAAGCTAAAATACAAATGCGTTACATGTTTTTTTATGATCCTGTCACCGCATCAAAACTGGCTTTAAACCAGGACTGAAAGCTAGACTAGAACAGGACTAAACAAGGACTAGACCAAAGGACCAAACAAGGACCAAACCAAGTCTACATCCACACATACGACTAAAACAGACTCAATTTAGGACCAAACAAGTGTGAATGTACCTGAGTCATGATCAGGATCTTTTAAATATATAGGCCCAAGGTACAATGATTGTCTTTTGATTTTGTTTATATTATTTATTTATTGTTATAATCAGTACAATGTTATCTGTTTTACATGCTTGTTCCCTTTCAAGGTTGTAGTCAATGCAGATAAAAAAGTCTGTGCTAAGTTAAAGCCCCAGTATGCAACTTTTTTGTAAAAAAAAAAAAAAAAAAAAAAAAAAGACTAAATTAAATGTTTTTTTGTTTTTTTTTTAATTGAAAAAAAAAAAAAAAAAAAAAAACATACGTTCTTACTTGGAGCGGGCTTGCATCTCCACAAACCTGGCTCTAATTTGGCCTAGAGGGGCTCCTTGTTGTGTGGCTATGATCTTTTTTAAAGGGACAGTCCAGAATTTTGGACATAGGGCCTCATTTCCTAGTGAGCCAGAGTGTTGGAGACGTATGGAGACACTTTTTTAAATATTCCAACCAGTCCTTGTATTTGCAGAGGTCACTGGTGCTAGACTAGTGCATGTCAATGGCCATAGTTATCCTGAAACTAAAAACAGTCTTACCCACTCCACAAAACACCCGAAGCAAATCTATTATTACACCAAACTGTCGATGTAAATGTCTGTGTCGATAGAATAATGTTTGAAATAAAAGTAACCTTGCATCGTATGAATCATTTATTGTTGAGGAACTATTTTCTCATATATCAGTCCGCCGCTGTCAAGCTTTCTATCAGGAAGTATAACTCGCTGCTGCTGCTCAGACATAAATCCTTCAAATGCAAGATTGGTTTTACTTCTAAAATTATTCTGTCAACACAGACATTTACATGGACAGTCTGGTGTAATAATAGATTCGTTTCGGGTGTTTTGTGGAGTGGGTAAGACTGTTTTTAGTGGCAGGATAACTATGACCATTGACATGCACTAGCCTAGCACCAGTGACCTCTGCAAATACAAGGACTGGATGGAATATTTTAAAAAAAGTCTCCACACGTCCCGAACATTCTGACTCACTAGGAAATGAGGTCCTATGTCCAAAATTCCAGACTGTCCCTTTTATTAAACTTATATTTCAATGGAATCATGCAGGTGATGTACCACCTTCAGAAAGCTACATACTGTTACAGCTTTAAGGTTCAAATGCAAATCCTACTCCACCACTTCACAATAACACTAATAATATAAAAAAAATGTATATATCACTGCACAAATCTGCAGTGAAAGCAGGCTTATTGCACAAAGAAAGTGCTTATCCAACCTGTGCTTTTATCCAGCTCTAACACAGCCACTGTACGGAGAAAAAGCAAACAACAAAAGCAGCTCACAAGCACATTTCCACCAAACCAAGTCTCCCACTGGTCCTCAGAGTCCGCCGCCTCTCTCTCTCTGCTGGACGTGTGAGCCGCTCTGAGCCTGTAAGCCTTTGAATGAGCAGCGGTGTGGCTCGGTGTTGAAGCCTGATGAAGTTGCTTGGTGGACATGGGGTCAGAGCTGTTGTGATGTGGGCCAGTGCTTTAGAGGCACAGAGGAGCGGGCTGGGAGTGACCCCCGGTGACCTCCCGCGAGCAGCAAAAAGACCAAGAGTGAACCGCAGTGTAAAGGGTGACGCTGGGGCCTGGACGTGGTTCTCCTGATTGGGCGAAGAGGGTTGGACTTTTAAGTTGAAGTATTTGGACTAA